GTGTTTTTTTCTATGGTAGCATGGTGTTTTTTTCTATGGTAGCATGGTGTTTTTTTCTATGGTAGCATGGTGTTTTTTCTATGGTAGCATGGTGTTTTTTCTATGGTAGCGTGGTGTTTTTTTCTATGGTAGCATGGTGTTTTTTTCTATGGTAGCATGGTATTTTTTTCTATGGTAGCATGGTGTTTTTTTCTATGGTAGCATGGTGTTTTTTTCTATGGTAGCATGGTGTTTTTTTCTATGGTAGCATGGTGTTTTTTTCTATGGTAGCATGGTATTTTTTTCTATGGTAGCATGGTGTTTTTTTCTATGGTAGCATGGTGTTTTTTTTCTATGGTAGCGTGGTGTTTTTTTCTATGGTAGCGTGGTGTTTTTTTCTATGGTAGCATGGTGTTTTTTTCTATGGTAGCGTGGTGTTGTTTTCTATAGTAGCGTGGTGTTTTTTTCTATGGTAGCATGGTGTTTTTTCTATGGTAGCGTGGTGTTGTTTTCTATGGTAGCGTGGTGTTTTTTTCTATGGTAGCGTGGTGTTTTTTTCTATGGTAGCGTGGTGTTTTTTTCTATGGTAGCGTGGTGTTTTTTTCTATGGTAGCGTGGTGTTTTTTTCTATGGTAGCGTGGTGTTTTTTTCTATGGTAGCGTGGTGTTTTTTTCTATGGTAGCGTGGTGTTTTTTTCTATGGTAGCGTGGTGTTTTTTTCTATGGTAGCGTGGTGTTTTTTTCTATGGTAGCATGGTGTTTTTTTCTATGGTAGCGTGGTGTTTTTTTCTATGGTAGCGTGGTGTTTTTTTATGGTAGCATGGTGTTTTTTTATGGTAGCATGGTGTTTTTTTCTATGGTAGCATGGTGTTTTTTTCTATGGTAGCGTGGTGTTTTTTTCTATGGTAGCGTGGTGTTTTTTTCTATGGTAGCGTGGTGTTTTTTTCTATGGTAGCGTGGTGTTTTTTTCTATGGTAGCGTGGTGTTTTTTTCTATGGTAGCGTGGTGTTGTTTTCTATGGTAGCGTGGTGTTTTTTCTATGGTAGCGTGGTGTTTTTTTCTATGGTAGCGTGGTGTTTTTTTCTATGGTAGCATGGTGTTTTTTTCTATGGTAGCATGGTGTTTTTTTCTATGGTAGCATGGTGTTTTTTTCTATGGTAGCGTGGTGTTTTTTTCTATGGTAGCGTGGTGTTTTTTTCTATGGTAGAATGGTGTTTTTTTCTATGGTAGCGTGGTGTTTTTTTCTATGGTAGCATGGTGTTTTTTTCTATGGTAGCGTGGTGTTTTTTTCTATGGTAGCGTGGTGTTTTTTTCTATGGTAGCGTGGTGTTTTTTTCTATGGTAGCATGGTGTTTTTTTCTATGGTAGCATGGTGTTTTTTTCTATGGTAGCATGGTGTTTTTTTTCTATGGTAGCGTGGTGTTTTTTTCTATGGTAGCATGGTGTTTTTTTCTATGGTAGCATGGTGTTTTTTTCTATGGTAGCATGGTGTTTTTTTCTATGGTAGCATGGTGTTTTTTTCTATGGTAGCGTGGTGTTTTTTTCTATGGTAGCATGGTGTTTTTTTCCTATGGTAGCATGGTATTTTTTTCTATGGTAGCATGGTGTTTTTTTCTATGGTAGCATGGTGTTTTTTCTATGGTAGCATGGTGTTTTTTTCTATGGTAGCATGGTGTTTTTTTCTATGGTAGCATGGTGTTTTTTTCTATGGTAGTGTGGTGTTTTTTTCTATGGTAGCATGGTGTTGTTTTCTTCCCTCGTCTATCTTGTTTCGAAATCGAGAATATTTCCACGGTGGACATTTTTTGTCGAACTCGAATCTGTATCTTGGCGCACGCTACGCTGTTATTGAGAAACATGAATAGGTTTTACCCTTTAGCAAGATGTTCAAACACCAAACAGAAAACTTTTTCAAGCAACCAATGTTATTGTGTTCTCATAGCGCAGCACATGTGGATCTTTATCAGACGATGAGGAAAGCACCCCACGCGTGAGCCGCTACACTGCGCACGCACACACACACACTCGCTTTGCGCGTTGTGCCGTCGGTCAACAACAGTGGATTTTCTCAACAGCCAAATTTTAGTTTTAGTTCTAGACTTTTAACAAGGTCCAGTTGGCTCAGAGGTCACAGCAACTGAGCCGGCACCATGTCTTCTGGCGTATGACTAGGTCGTGTGTGAAAGGCTAACGCTTGAACTCCGAGACAACACCGCTGCCCCGTTGGGCTCGAATCTGTGTATCACCCACTCTTAATTTTTTTCGGTAAAGTCACTTAGGTAAAATAATAATAACAATAAAATAATAATAAATGAAAATAACTCAATTAAATCACGACGTTTCGGAGGCAACACAAGTCTTCAGGTGGGACCGTCACAGCTAAATTTACTCTATTAAGTGAAGAGAAATCCAAGAGACATTATCTTATATACTGGTTAAGGGGAGGGGGGAGGAGCTTATCTAAATGTGGCAGTCAGGGACTGGGGCTAGAAGGGGGAGGTGGGCGGGGCTAGAAGGGAAGGTCCAAGTGAAGAACCTCACAGGGGTTACGGCCGATGTTGGCTGCCAAAACCAAAACAGCAGCACTGTTAAACGCTGGGGATGTCAACAACTCGGTAAAATAGACTAGTACCTGTCAAATAAGATGGTACAAATATGCGTAGTTAAATCTTGCGTATCACCTGCCCGCGATTTAAACAAGATCTCCAGTGGTACGGGTTGATGGTCTCGGCACAGTCGACAGTGATATCACGGGGACCTTGGTGAGTCACAGAGGAGACCAATGGACTTACATAGACTGAGTTGTGAATAGATTGTATTCTTACGTGTAGCAAGTCGCCAATACATTTTGGGGTTTTATTCATTTGGATAAATCGATACCCTATAATTGAAACTAAATGTTGATTTGATTTGTCAAGACACATTTCGCTTTTGCAGATCATGGGGGGTAAAGGGCAGGAATCCCCTTGTTGTGTGGATACAAATGTAACTTTTTTATCCACACATTGATTTGAATTGGAATTTAACAGGGGTTTCTGCCATGGAAGATCCGTGCATCCCGGTCACGCATTGGCCTGGGCCGGCCTCCACCAGGCTGACCAGGTCCCACAGGCCCCCTCCCATCTCTCCTAAACGACACCCTGGAATCAGGATGGATCCGGACCAATTGCCTGCACAGAGCATTGGCCGTGCATTTCAACGGCAACACTGGCGAAGTTTTGAACGCCAATTCTGGCTGCCTGATATCGGGGTCTAGTTCAGTTTCGAGCAGAGTCTCCGCTGAAACAAACTACGTTGGTATTGGCTATGCGATTCAATGGCGATTTTGCTCAGAATCAGAATCTTTACATCGACCGGAGGAATCTGATGAGCTTCGAAGCTCTTTTTCACCGATGTCCAGTAAATTCACAGATGACCACTCGGCCGGATAGCCCCCCACAGGTCCTCCCCCCTCCCTGCCTGAATGTCAAGCTGGGCTCCGTGTAGCCCCCCCACCGATCCCACCGATCCCACAATCACATTAGGAAATGGTATTTGTCTCAGAATCCATTTGTAACTGTACGCAGTAGCTAAAAATCCTGCATGTTTTTTTCTTCCAATTGTGCAATAAGACAAACCACAACAGAGAAAGTGTGCAAGCGTCTCTTCGTTTTGTGTAACCCCCCCCCCCCCCCCCCCGTGATTGATGGCCATCAGAAAAGTGTCGAGCAATCGGTAATTCTGTCTGTCGTGTTCCTCACCAGCTGCGGCCTTCCATTTAGATTCATATCGAGGGAAGTCGATCCCGGGCTCGTTTCCGATCTCGTGCTTGACACAGACTCTGCTCCCTGTAACTCACTTCCATTTGGAAATTGCTAATCATCATTAGTGTGGCGTAATTTGATTTAAAATGAGCAAGCGTGCCCCGGCTGTAAGCTTTCCAGTAACAGCCGGGATAGATGGATGACGTGTCCTTAAACAAAGATGGTTGTTTTATGCTCCTCCTGCTCCTGTTGTTGTTGTCGTCGTTGCCCCAATGCCTCCTCCCGGCAGACGTGGTAATGCAATTTGAAGGGCGCGTTTTCGTGTCGGTCACGGTCTGAACGCCCGTGCCCAGGAGGGTCGCATCCGCACCTGCTCGATGCGGACGCTTCCGTCGGCTAACGACCCTGAGCTTTTGGCACCTTTTGCCGCGAGGGGCCGGCGTGTACTTTGCGAGCGCGGAGATTAAATCGAGCGCCGCGCCGCGTGTCGTTGCATCGACACACAGCGGATATGCTCCGTGCGGCCCGAAGGGAGGTGCTTGTACAAGAAAACGCTGCGTTGAACAAGTCTGGGATGAGGGAAACACCATGCATACGTGTTGATTATGTAACCAATTCCAACATGCTTTTGACTGCCAATATTAAATGAGCAGCTTTGAGGCCCAACGGTATCTGTCAGGGCAAAAGGCATTTGTGCTTCTGCGCATAGTTCTGTGGTTCATGTCTGCAATTTTTTGGCGAACCCTTTGATCAACTATTCCTGTTTTAATTCGAGTTAAACATTCCTATATGTTCGTGGAATTAATGGCTGATTATAAAAGAAAATCTAATCCAGTTCAATGTTAGTTAATATCAAGCTGACTCGCACGAAAAAAACGTTCAGTGTGAATGATTACGTGAATACCTATTGCACGCAAAATGTATGCTAGAAAATGTAGTCCTTTGTCCACTGCTGGGTGAAGGCCTCATCACACAATGGCAACCATTGGGTTTGTCACGCTGGTTAGTGCGGGTTTGTGATAGTCGATAAAACAATACATTTTCGTGCATGCCATTCGAAAATGCTGAAAACAACCCTCAACCCGCATCTAAAGGAACTTCTCGCTGGTGTACTTTATATTGCAGGTTAAAGGTTCACGATGGGCTTCACGTGAAACAATGGCAGGGGGGTGGCATTGAGACCGGAGGGGATGGAAGGAGGGAGGGGTGGGAGGGAGGGAGGGAGAGGAGAATCCGCAACCCACCATGCCCGTGTGCGCCCTCTCGTTTTCCGCTGCAGATCTCGACAGGGACTTCTCCCAGTGGGACAGCCTGCTGGACGGGAAGGGCGAGCACGTGATCCGTGGGACCAACATCGTCATGCCGAGCGTTCCCCCGTCGCAGCTCTGATTCCCCGGGGCGGGGGGGGGCAGTCTTCGCTGCACCCCCTCCCCGGCGTTCAAGGTTTGGCTTTGGAGGTCGCAAATTCCTGCCGGTGCCACCGTGGTGAGCGGCCCTAGCGCCTGCTCTCTTTTTTCTATTAAATCGCCTTGTTTGATCTGCTTGCACTGTGTTATGTAACAAAACATTCCATAGCGAAACGGACAAGTGTATAATCGCGTGTAAAAACAACACATTGTCGCCGTGCGTTTACGCGGGTTGATATGCAAGTTCCTCGGATTAGCACGGTTGGCTACGTGCTGTGCGAAAGAAGTTCAACGTACATATCCATGTTGAGCTGTTTATCGACACCCCGCTGATATCTAACTCCCCTTTCTTTCTTCTCGGCAGGTGCTTGAATATTGTGAAGGTGGTGGCTCCGTGTCTTGCAGAGGAGAGTGAGAGGTTTTTTGTTGAGTAATTTGGGCTTTGGTGGGAAATGTGTCGAGGCTCTCCAGCAAGATGTTGTCATCTGTAAAGTTTCTGACGGTTATTTTTGTGTGGTATCGACCATTAGATCACCCTGTATGATAACGGTACAGGAAAATAAATTTACTTGGAGAAGTTGACTTAACGTCTGACGGTGTAGGCTTTCGCGACCAATATTATTCGTAAGAATGTTTTTTTTGGTTTAGATGGCGTAAGTAGAAATGTGTCGATAACCTGCCACCACCCGACACAGCCAATTATTAATGTTTGTCACGTGACTAAAAGGTGTGCTAATTAGTAATTACTTCAGCACCACTGATGTGTTGGAGAGTAATTCCATAACATTTACAATTTGAGTGCTGTGACGTTTCGCTGGTAACTGCATCTGGCATCATCTGGTGGGCTGAAGTAGTAAGTAATTGGCACGTTCTGTTTACGTGACAAACCTTACTAATTGGCTGTGTCGGGGGGTGGCGGTTTAACGACAGATTTATCCTTACACGATCTGAAGCCAAAAATCTTTATTGTGACTTACCGTCTGTTCGTTATATATTCATTACGTAACTATGAGTAGCTAATCATGAATGTTAACTTCCTAATGTAACGTCACGAAGCCTTCATTTAGGAAAGCTTCGTCGAGTTATGAAACACTTTTTTTAAAGGAGGGTCTTGCATTGGGATATTTTAACTAATTCGTCAATGAGTATGAACACAGCATATTAGTGAGTAGGTGTTCGTGATATTTTTACGTAGCTCTCCGATGTATTTTTTGGGTTGTTCCGCGTGTTGTTCAGTGTGATGTCCGACGTTTCGCTCCATGCGCTGGGGAGTGGGCTCTTTATTAAGGAACTCTTTTGTGCTGCTCACTTTCTCCCTTGATTCCAGAGCCGTTGCTGGCGTTGTCTGCTGTCGATGCCGATTGGCTCAGCTCTCTGACCTAGTTTCCTCTCAAGCAGAAATGTGATTTTGTGATTTTTGCTTGAGAGGAAACCAGAGTACCCGGATAAAGCTGTTCATGCAGATACCTGGGGGCATCTCAGACCGTGCAACATCTCGTGAACGATTGCCCAATCAGATCATTTAACGGCGACCTGAAACAAGCAGTCGAATGCGATATGAAATCTCGACATAAATTTGCAATCTGTTGCAAACCCCAAAAATGCCCTACGAAAGAAGAAGAAGATCTGCGCACTTTGTAAAACAGACCGGAGAGCAATGACGGCTCAAGCGTTGGTGCTGCACAGTCGAGGCACGCGGTTTTGAATACAACCAACGTATTTTAACCTCACTGCTGATAAGGACTGGTATATTTCACATTGTATTTGCATGCAATTGTTTCGTCTTTTTTTTAAGTTGAGAATAATGAAAAGTTGTTTGAACTGCTTTGGGATTTTATTTTTATAAAAAAAAAATCCCTTCTCACTGTTAGTTTTTTAAATAATCATTGTAATCGTTCTTTGAATATTGTGCATGATATGCAAAACAGCATCATAAAAAAGATCTAAATTATTTTTCAGCCTTCTTTAATAACCAAGAATAAATGCCTGGCATGTTATATAACACTTGAGTTGTGAGATAAAACGTGTGTTCAAAGACAAAGAGGGATTAATCGTTTCTGGCAAGAGAGTGTCCATTCTGTGCTTTAATTATTTTCAACTAAGTTAAATTTAGACAAATGTGTGGCTTTTTCATCGCGTTTTGGAAGCACAGAAATCGACGCAACTGTTTACAGAAATAATTAAATTTGCACAAACAAGGCCTCTTACGAGTCGTTATTTTCACCATGGCTCGAAGCAGTGTAGCCAACGAAGCAGAAAACGATCTGCTGGCTGACCAATGTTTACGTTTATATTCAACATTGAGCCTGGTTCATAATGGACAATCGAACTGGAGCCTTGGAATAAGAATTGTGGTGGATTTAATGTGTTTATATCATACATGGTGTGGTCTTTGCATTACCCAACAAATTTGCACGGTATTGTACGCAGTGAAAACAAATGTGGTGGGATGGTGGTGTCATGGTTAGCAAACCACGCTGCAAATCCAGTGACCGTTTGATTCCCAGTCACGGCTAACATCAGTGGCGAGGGATTTGAACCGGTCCTGCTCACACCCCCCCCCCCCCTTTCACTAACGCACACTGACCATCGTGGTGAAGTATGGTCACACAACCCCCACGACTAAAGGAATTCTTAGTAAAGGGATTATTTGTCATGTATGCAGTAAAAGGTGGTATCTCTCGTCTTGCCATGCAAACCAGGGGCCAAGAGTATCTTGAAATATTCTGGGCCCTATCTGAGGTCATCTCGGCCTGCAGTGCGTGCCTGGTCCCGTGTGACCAACAACTTCCCTGGAGAGACAAAGGTGACTGAGAATGCTTAATCTTGGCCATACTACCCCACCTCCTCATGTGCCACAGTGATCCTGAATAGGTGCTTGCGAACAGTGTCCAACAGCCTAGGTAGTCTCGCAATTTCGTAATGTAAGTAGTGCCTCATCGTCTGCCTTTATTAGTTACACATTTTAAACTGAAATGTGGTTTGTTTGATAAGCAAAGTGCCGTCTTGGTACTTCTGTACTTTGTTACCAAAAACAGATTACTTTTGTATTATCTTTACAACAGTAATACAAAGCTAATTGATGTAATTTTCAAGAGTTTATGACTTATTATTTTATTAACCCGAGTGAAAATGTATCTTTGTATACTGCAGATTAGTTATCAAAAATGTCTGGAACATTTAAAACATATTAACAGATGATATTACTTGAGAAACACGCATTACGCCATTTATAGTTCATGGAATAGCTGCTTAAGCAAATTGTGTGTTTTTATCATGAAAGAAGAGGCTGCCCCTGAACTCTGTACAATGTGATCCCGCATTAAAACGCTCATCTATTGCAAGAATAAACGTGTATTGTTCATACTGTTTTTTTGCCAGGAAAAGGTTAACTGTTCCCGGCATTGCTTGAGTCTTTATTCTAAATTCTTGTTGGGCTTGGTCATGGGATATAACAGAACTCGAAATGTCTCACTTGTGCATGAGTCACACACGTGGCCTCAATAATGAGCAACCAAATTAAGTGCGTCATTGACGTGGCTCAACACAACTTCATTGTATCAGCATACTGGTAGGAAGGAACCTCCTGGTTACACCAGCCCACAGGGGATTATTGTGTCCGTCGTGCAGGAAGGGGCTGGGTGGGGAGGGAGGGGCTGGGTGGGGAGGGGCTGGGTGGGGCTGGGTGGGGAGGGGAGGGGCTGGTCACCCCGTGGTGCCCTTATAAAACTCAACGTTTAACCTACTCACGCCGACTTGTGCCCACCCTCACAGTCGGGCATATTTGCGGAATACACCACGCCGCCGTTGGCCATGGACCGAGCAACCCAACGTTCCTACCAGCTCCCTCCGCAGGAATGTGTTAGCGCCACAAACTACTGTGTGGGCGGTTGAATGGATCTTTAAGCGCAGCAGTTAAAACAAATGAGGCGGGTTTCCTAACTCACTGCCGCCTCTGTCCACGCGGCAGTGTATATGGGTACACCACCACAGTTAATCATTTGGAAGGGGAAGGTCTCGTTTGGTGGGGTAAGGTGTGGGTAGGATAACTTTTTTCCAAATCGTTCGATCCACGTGGAAGAGGAGACCCAGGACCCTCCAGGGTTCGCTGTAGCGGCGGTCTTTCCACTCGCACCTTTACCTTGTGTGTACTATGTTGAACTTCTTTCGCACCGTACGTAGCCAACCCTGCTAATCGGAGGTGCGGGGGGGGGACAACACTTAACACAAAAATCGGTTATCAAGAAATGCGTTTTCAATCTACAAAAATAATTTTCAATCTTCACGCAGAGCATACAAGGGTGCGTTCCAAAAAAAAATAGCAAATCAATCTGGCTCCACAATGAGTGAACTCTTCAATATGAATATCTCAAAGTTTTTCAGGTTGTATGCAACATCTTGATTGCCAATTTGCTGCACATGCTGAAGAAGCTCCCAGCCCGTGAAATGTGAGAAATCTGGCTGGACAACAGCAACACATGACAACCCGGACACCCATCGGAGAACTGCACCGTGCAGCCGCGAAGACCTACATGGGGAGGAATATATTTTAATTACATTTAAAAGATAGAGTTTTTGGCCGCCTAATCTTTCTCCTTTCACTAATCCCTGGCGCGCCAATCTTGGGATTTTGTTTGCGAAATTTCTGCCCCCCCACCCGCCCATATTTGTTCTGCGATTGTTCTGTACCGGGCTCGCGTTGAGTTGAAATTAAATCAATAAAAATATATATATACTAGCTGTACTACCCGGCTTCGCCCGGGACTTGTATCTACCACGGCCGGCCGCCTTTGTCTCCCCAGTGGCGATGTTAATATGCTACAGTAGTTAAGTTACTCGTTTGAGGCAGAGTCGACCTAGGGGAGGTTCAAATAATCGTCACCGGTGGTGGCCGTGAGCGGGAATCGAACTGGGTTTGCCGGGTTGGTAGCGCAGCGTAGCGTTAAGCACTACACCCACCGCTCCTCACACACCACACACGCACAGACACACACACAGACACACACACAGACACACGCAGATACACACAGACAGAAACACACACACAGACAGCACGCTAACCACTACACTACCGCTCCCCACACACCACACACGCACACACACAGACACACACACAGACACACACACACAGACACACACACACAGACACAGGCAGCACGCTAAGCACTACACTACCGTTCCCCCTACACAACACACGCGCGCGCGTCCATTGCTGCAGACACACACGACTTTCAGGGTGCATACGGCAGTAAACGACTGAAATAATAAAGCGGCAATGCTGTGTAAGGAACGCCTTAGACCCGCATTATACATTTGTGTAATGCGAGCGTAAACACACAAACACACACAAACACATACACAATACACACACACATACATGCAGACACACAGACAGACACATAACACACATACATACACACACATACAAACACAGAAACACATACACACACATACATAGACACACACATACATACACACAAACACATCCACAGACGTACATACACACATACATACAGGCACGCAGACATACACATAAACACATACAAAAAAACCCACATACATACACACACACATACATACACACAAACACATGCACACATATACATACACACATGCATACAGACACACAGACATACACATAAACACATACACACATACACATGACCCGGCTTCGCCCGGGACTTGGATCCACCACGGCGGCAAAACCGACATACATACACACACAGACATACACACAAACACATACACACACATACATACACACATGCATACAGACACACAGACATACACATAAACACATACACATGACCCGGCTTCGCCCGGGACTTGGATCCACCACGGCGGCAAAACCGACATACATACACACACAGACATACACACAAACACATACACACACATACATACACACATGCATACAGACACACAGACATACACATAAACACATACACATGACCCGGCTTCGCCCGGGACTTGGATCTACCACGCCCAGCCGCCTTTGTCTCCCAAGTGCCGATGTTAATACGCCACACCAGTTACTCGTTTGAGGCTGAGTGGACCTAGGGGAGGTTCAAATAATCGTCACCGGTGGTGGCCGTGAGCGGGAATGGAACTGGGTTCGCCGGGTTGGTAGCGCAGCGTAGCGTTAAGCACTACACCCACCGCTCCTCACACACCACACACGCACAGACACACACACAGACACACGCAGACACACACAGACAGACACAGACAGACACACACACACACAGACACACAGACAGCACGCTAAGCACTACACTACCGCTCCCCACACACCACACACGCACACACACAGACACACACACAGACACACGCAGACACACACAGACAGACACAGACAGACACACACACACACAGACACAGACAGCACGCTAAGCACTACACTACCGTTCCCCCTACACAACACACGCGCGCGCGTCCATAGGTACACATACACGCGCTTGCTGCAGACACACACGACTTTCAGGGTGCGTAAGGCAGTAAACGACTGAAATAATAAAGCGGCAATGCTGTGCGAGGAACGCCTTAGACCAGCAACACATTTGTGTAATGCGAGCGTAAACACACAAACACATACAAACACATACACACACATACATACACACACATACACACAAACACATACACACAGACATACACATACACACAAACACACACATACATGCACACAAACACATACACAATACACACACACATACATGCAGACACAGACAGACACATAACACACATACATACACACACATACACACACATACATAGACACACACATACATAGACACACACATACATACACACAAACACATGCACACACGTACATACACACATACATAGAGACACGCAGACATACACATAAAGACATAAAAAAAACCCACATACATACAGACACACATACACACAAACACATACATACACATACATACACACATACATAGAGACACACAGACATACACATAAACACAAACACACATACACATGACCCGGCTTCGCCCGGGACTTGGATCCACGATGCCCCGTCGCCTTTGTCTCCCCAGTGACGATGTTCACACACGACAGCAGTTACGCTTTTGAGGCTGAGTGGACCTAGGGGAGGGCCAGGTCCGTTTCAAATAATCGTCAGCGGTGGTGGGCGTGAGTTGGAATCGAACTGGGGTCGCTCAAGCAGCTTAATGACTGTTTGTACAAAGAACATATAAAGAATCGATTATAATAACCAGGCAAGAGTCCACATTATAGACTGCCAGTACACGCACTCAGCTTCATAAGCAGGCTAGAGTGTACATGATAGAGTGGCAGTACGCTCACCGAGCTTAATAAGCAGGCTACAGTGTACATGATAGACTGGCAGTACGCTCACCCAGCTTAATGAGTATTTGTACAGTGAACATTAAAGTAATCGATTGTTGGCGCGTTGGGTTTAAAAGTAATATTAATAGCACACATTGTGGTGGGGGTGTAGTGAAGAGTAGGAAAAACTTTGATGAATTTACCTCAGAGTGGCGTTGTGGGTGTCGAGGCCTAGTAGCGTGCAAAGCCTGCGGCCTCGCCTAAAATTGTCGGCTTGGAAGAGGCAGGGTACGGGTGGCGTTCCTTCCCCCCCCCCTAGCACTCCAACAATACTGTGTAATGGCTATTATTTAATTAAATACGGAGCTTATGAAAGTGGCGAAGGCGTGGCTAGCCGTTGGCAGGGGCAACCGCCGTCCAATGAAACTGCAGCCCTTGGCGAAGGCGTGGCTAGCCGTTGCCAGGTCCAATGAAAGCGGCGAAGGCGTGGCTAGCCGTTGCCAGGGGCAACCGCCGTCCAATGAAAGTGCGTATGGGCCAAAGTCCACACACACACACACAGACAGACAGACATGAACGATTTTATATATATAGATATACATACGTATAGTTGTGCCAGTAACATCGTATGCCTTGAAATAAAGAAACAGGGAGCCAAACAACTAAACACCCTGGGCCCTCCTGATTTTAAGTGACTTGTAGTAACTACCGAGACGTTTGACTCCGCGTCCGAATTGCACCACGATCAATGGGCTCGCACGATGGCACTTCGGCAGTGTTCACACTCCGACTTGCAAGGGCGATGGTCTTGCCTGCCCGTGCACATTCTGGCCCCCACGGGACCAGGACAATGATGGCAGTAGAGGCACCCCAAGGGTATCGGCCCAATTTCCACTTGGACGCCACAAATTTGGTCACATCTCCAGTGTTGCGCATTAGGATCAACGGGATGACGGCCGCTTCTGCTGGTGGCTGATGTAAAATAATTCCTGTGACCTGCACGGCATGGCAAGGCCCTCAACCAACAGTGTGTCACCTTCATTCCTATAACCCATATGTAATCAATA